AGTTGTATTTTACTTCATATTATAGTTATATCAATGTAAATCATTGTTTTCCCTTGTGTTTCCCATTCTTTCCCTGCCATGTCGTAAAATGTGGTGAACCCATCGCTGTATTTGCTCCAAAGCAAATATTGGCCTTTCTAGTTTTTATTGTTTTTTATTGTTTTTGATAGTTTAAAACCAGTATGATATCCAGAATTTATGGATATCATATAACCATATAACGAGTTACATGTAGTCGTACATGTAGTCGTGGTCTCATACAACTTCATTAATGGCTGGGGCAAATCAGTTTTGGTACATGTGGGCCTGTCTTTGTGCATGCCCGTATGTGTGTGTGCGTGTGTAGGTATATGTATATGTGCTTGCCCGTGCGTGTGTTTGTGTGCGCGTGTGTGTGTGTTTTTGTATGTGTGTGTGTGTGTGTGTGTGTGTGCGTGTGTGCGTGCGAAGTGTGTGTGTGTGTGTGTGTGTGTGAATGTTTGTGTGTGCGTGTGTGTGTGTGTGTGTGCGTTGTATGTGTGAGTGTTTAAATAAGAAGAAGACACTCCCTTGTTGCTAACCTGTTTGTTCTGTGTACAATTACAAAAATCGACTGTGTGATCATACCGCCGGCTCAAACCAACTCCCCCGGGCTTTGTAGAACATTTGTCATGTCATAATCATCGGCAATAAAACGCACGGTTGACTCGGGCGTTACCTGTATTTTCGTGCCTTCGTAGTGCAGTACAAACTATTGTCTAATTTCACACTTCATGACTTCAAAAGGTGAGGGGAGGGGGGCATTCCAGTCTGTCAGAGAATGTTTGAAATCACATCTGTAACGTTAGGTTTAAAGTTTGAGACCACACTCTCGGCAGAGCGAAAGATTACAGCAAAACCAAAGAAGACGGAAACTCAGCGTGTCGTAAAGCACATAGCCTGACCAACAGGGTTTCGGGTATCCTGGTTACTAGTTTACCTCCGCTCCCACAGTCGCTGGTTTTCGGGTTCAGTCTGGCAGCATTGAACTGAAGTTTAACCATTTATTGGTCAGTCCCTTGGTACGTAAACCAGTTCTTTCCAGTTCAGTGTAGACGTTTAACCAGTTCCTTCATACTTTCTACCAGACCCTACACTCGGCTACATACGGAAGAAAGACCAGGCCTGTATCGGCGTGCTGTTCAACATCAGCGACCACGGCAACACGAACCTGGCCACCTGTGCGCACCTCTGTACGGCCTCGGGATCGTGCGGGGCGTTCGTGCACGTGCCGGGCGACTCCGACAACTCCTGCAGGCTCAAACGGTCCTGCCCGACACCGGCCAACCTCACCGGGGCTGATCTGTACTTCAAACGGCGTGAGTTAAGCGCACAGTGTTTGCTTTGTTGTATCAGGCGCTGCAGCGAATCCATTAAACAAATAACCAGTACTTGACGTTTGCATTTGGCTTTTGCCATCCATCACTTTGTGTCATTACATTTCCATGCCATCTTGAGACACATCATTTGAGTGGCTCTTATGAGCCTTGTTTTGTGGTGAATCGTGAAGTAAATAAAAAAAAAAATCTTGCATAAATCGCAGTTTCCACTTTACTCATGTTGATAAAAATGTATTGATCTGATATTGATAACTGTGTATTGGTCTATATATTATTGATGACTACCCATTGATCTGATACTGATAACTATGTACTGATCTGTTGTTGGCAAATATATATATATATATATATTGACCTGATATCAATAAGTATGTATTGACCTGATATTAATAACTACGTATTGATCTGATACTGGTAATTATGTATTGATTCGATATTGATAACTACGTATTAGTCTGATATTGATAACATGTATTGATCTATTATTGATAACTATGTATTGATATTGATAATGTATCCATCTGATATTGATTACAATCTATTGATAACTAAGAATTCCTCTGTTTCAAAGCTCACCCCTGGCCGTACAGCGACGATGAAGGTGAAGCTAATTTTGTATCTTTAGCGTTGGGGGATGTCGATATAGCTTCTGGCTGTTTTTAAATCAAATACTGTAAAACGGTAGGACTCCATTAACGTTCTTCATGTTGTTTTTACTCATAGTTTGCAACGTCACCTCTGCTAACCGCACAGAGGAAGTGTTCACGTGAGTATGTTCGTACTGAGATTAGTTAGCCTTGATGATTAGAATCTGGTCCGTGTAGGCCATGGAACAGTCTGGCATCCAGGTGACTGTCTGTTGTTGTGGTCTGCATGGGTCAGGGATAACATGAAATGTTGTGTTTCAGTATCGTCTGTCCTCCTGGCTGTGCATCTGTCGCATTACCAATCTATGGTGACGGGACCTACAGCTCTGTGAGTATATCTTCCGGATAAGCAGCCCTGTGGCTGCAAACCAAAGTGAGAAATTTGATTTTGGTTGAGTGATTTACAAACATTATGATTTTCCTTACCAGTTAATATGATTTTGTTTGATTTATGCTTGTGAGATAAGTTCCATTGATATGCAAATACCTTTCGCTTTAACTTATTTATGTTTGGTTGGATTCTGTATGTTACCTTATGATTAATTGCACACTTGTATATAGTGATTATTTTCTTCTTATTTATTATTGTATTTTATCCTCAGTTACTTTGTTTGTACTTTATTATGTTGGGGTTTACCCCCCAGGTATCATTGAAAAACGCCGACAAGGCGATATGTATCACCTGGATAAATAAATAAAATAAACAAGAGTTCCGAGATCTCATACCTCCATGAAATATGGGCTTGATATGTAAATGTAAATTTCTTCTTTAATTACGCAAATAACCTCTGCATTAACATAATATATGCATCGTGATGTTAACTTTTGATTAACTTAAAGATGTCCCAAGTATGACATTCCCATCATTCACCATTGAGAAATCATAGATTTTTTGCATTAATTATGCAAATTAGGTCATCATTTGCATAATTAGTATCTGTTGATGTTCCATCTGCCATAGGTTACATACATTACATGTATGAAAGTTCTATAATGTAAAACACTGTAATTATAGAATTTCCTCATTAATTATGCAAATAAAGTCCTCATTTGCATAATTTGCAGTTAATTATGTACATCTCTCTGTCAGATACCTACACACCAAAAATGATGAAAATACGCTGTTCCTATCTGGACTTATTGGCTTTCAAAGATTTCGCCCGAAAGTCCCCTGCAGTTCCTGAACAAGCTGCTAGGGGGACCAAACCCACACCACTTATTCCTGACAGGAAAAGCTATCTGTCACCAAAAATTCAAGACCATAGCATGTTCAGGACCAAAGATACAAAAACCGGAAGTTCTGCTGCAGTACCAAGGTCATCCACCAGGAGGCCCATATTTGACCTTGACCTTTGTCTTCCTAAGACTTATCAGCATACCAAATATCATCACAATCCATAAAGGTGTTATGAAGTTATGCTGACTACAAAGTTGCGGAAACACACACAGACACACACACACACAGACACACAGACACACAGACACACAGACAGACGTCGCCAAAAACAATACCTCCATTTTTCATGGAGGTAATAAATTAATAAAAAGAAAGTGTTAGATGTGTTTTCCTTGTAGCCTGGGTGCCAGCCTCCGTGGTTTCCGCCCTCTCCCTAGTGTGGTGCCCAGCGACATTTGGGAGCGGGCGGAAAATACGGAGGACGGCACCCAGGCTATTTTCCTTGAGGCATGAGGGAAGAGGTCAGGGTTAGATAAAGTATAACATACGTACAGGGATACAGCTTACATTGTGGTCCTTAAAAATCCATTAACATATTAACGTTATATCCTTTTGTACGTTTCTGCCTCGCGCTGTAGAACTCGCCTGTGTGTAAAGCGGCTGTTCATCACGGGTGGGTCATAGACGAGCTGGGAGGAGCCGTGACCGTTCGGAAGTTCAGCCTTAACCGAGATCGAGCTTCTCGCGCAATTACACACCACGGGGTGAGAGCGCTAGGGTGAGTTGAGCCCCTAGCCTGTTACACATAGCCGACCATGGCCTGCCAAACTTCTCTAGACTATGGTTGGGAGGGTTTATATTGAAACCAAATCGATTGTACCTTGCCAAATTCTTTGTGACCCATAAAATAAAAACGTTCGTTGTAGAAAGTGTGGTCCCAACGTGAAACAAGTGTCAACACTTTCTAAGCAGTTGATGACTTCGGATCTAGATGAATGTATATCCAAGTAAGTGTCCAAGATGTCCTGACAATGTTTTTATTTCGTTTACGAAGGTACAACCCACTCGGCAAGACGTCTGTCTATTTTGTACACGGTATGTTACTATTCTGTTCACATTGTTTGTCAATTCATTGCATGCATATGGAGGGCATTCGTAAATGACTGTAAGGTTTAAACCAGTCACACCGGGAAGGAACACTCTTTGGTAAGTGTTGTGGGTTCCTTAATGTGAGTTCTTTTCTCAAACCCACGACCTCAAGCTTTGCGTGCCATCCCAGACGACGTCCCTAACCAAAGCTACATGTAAGTACTCATTTTCACCTGAGAGGAAATAGGTATAAATACGTGCCTTACCCAGGTACTCAACATTGCGCTCAAACCAACAGATTCTAGTCAACACCCCTAACCACCAGACTACTTTGAACCCCCCCCCCGTGTATCCCGTTTGTAGGCTGTGGCTCAGTGATGACGGCGGCCAGCCGATCAAAGTACTTCTACAGCAACAGCCCGTTTGACGAGGACAGCGAGTGTAGCCTCCGCATCATCGACAAGCCCTGCGGGATGATCGCCCCGCGGTTCGGATTCAACCTCGCCGGCGGAGCCGAGTTGGTAGTAAGTTACATATTTTAGACCGCATTCAAAGGAGAATCTGTGTTGCCATCGGCCATTCTCTGGCCGCAAAGCTGGAGTCCCTCTCACACTGACGCGGCGTCGCATCCCTATCCCTCTTTTACAGTTACTTTCACGGTCGATGTTCAGGAGAACTTGCACTTCTTGTTCCGCCGCTTAGAACCTTTCAGCGTGCCACAAGGTTCTCTTCCAGGTCTCATCAATACACCGTTAACATACCTGTTTCCAAGTCATTTTACAACAACAGCTTCTTTCCCCGGACTGCAAAACTATGGAACTCTCTTCCAAACACATGCTTTCCGTCCGACTACAATCCACAAAGCTTCAAAACACCGCCATCTCCTGACATAACTACATTATACTCACTTAAGTACCTCTAGCTCTATGCCTAGAAGTGGCAAAAAATAATTGGCCTTGCACTGAGCGACACCGTTAAAAAAAGTAACATGAACGCAACCTTACTACAGAACAGATAACACCACCTTTTCTAATAGCGGCTGCGACCGCTGAGCACCCGAAACTTTTGATGCAACAGATCGCGCAACGAATTTCTATAAAGAATGATTTCACGCCTTACTTTCTTTTAGATATAATCATACCTTTGAATCGTAGATCTTAGTCCAATTTTGAAATCAAGGGTCACGCAAATTCAATTTAGGCCTGAAAACAACATGGTGAAACTGCCACCGTTTTTTTTTTATTGTTAGTACAATGCCGGCCCAAAGAAGACGTACTTTGTGAGCAAATATACCGACACCGCTGTGACGGCGCGGCAGTTTAGACTACCAAACCTACACGAAGCGCACTTTGATCTTACCACTGGATCTCAGGCCGAGGGACAACATCTTTGGGTAACGTGGGAGACCAGGGGCGTCAAGCGTATGTTATCCTTTCCCACTCTATTATTTACTTGACAAACCATGTATCAATAGCTCTGTATGTTCGTACATCTACAATCAAGAAGAGAGAAGAAGTTGAACCTGTAAATAGTACTTAACAGTAGTATGTATATTAGTTTAGATAAGACATTACTGTAACTTTTTCCAGTTTATTCATGACTTGTACTTAGCTTGTAAGAGTATAGACGTACAATAAATTTCCTTCCTTCCTGTCCTCATTCATTTGTAGGCACATTATGCTCATACAGTTTCTTTTAAATTCTGAACGCACGATAAAAAAACTGCCGTCGCCAAACTAGAAATGAGCGGTCAGAAACTCTGTATTGTATTATATCAGTCTGTCGAATTCGTGAGGATGTGGGCGGAGAGCTTAAGCCGGCGCAGGCGAGTGATAGCCCGTCCCCCACTCCCCACTATCCACTGTGTCCCAAGGTGTCGGTCCCCTAGGTCCGCCTGCCTAGCTATAGGGTTAGGGTTAGGGTTAGGGTTAGGGTTAGGGTTAGGGTGAGGGTTAGGGTTAGGGTTATAGGGTTGGGGTTAGGGTTAGGGTTAGGGTGAGGGTTAGGGTTAGGGCTAGGGCTAGGGCTAGGGCTAGGGCTAGGGCTAGGGTTAGGGTTACGGCTAGGGTTAGGGTTAGGGTTAGGGTGAGGGTTAGGGTTAGGGCTAGGGCTAGGGCTAGGGCTAGGGCTAGGGCTAGGGCTAGGGCTAGGGCTAGGGCTAGGGCTAGGGTTAGGGTTAGGGTTTGGGTTACGGCTAGGGTTAGGGTTTGGGTAAGGGTTAGCATTGTCGGGAGGGCTTTAGGGTTAGGGTTAGGGTTTGGGTAGGGTTAGGGTCAGGATTTGGGTTAGGGTTTGGGTTAGAATTGTCGGGAGGGCTTTAGGGTTAGGGTTAGGGTAGGGTTAGGGTCAGGATTTGGGTTAGGGTCTGGGTTGGGGTTAGAATTGTCGGGAGGGCTTTAGTTAGAGACGGGCGCTATTACTCGCGTGTGCGCGTAAGGTCTGCACGCGCAGCCTCACTAATCTGGTTCAAAGGCAGTCCGCTGAATAGAAATGTTTTAAAGACTTGTTGCCATACTGAATTTTGTGAACAATGTTCCACTTACTTCGGCAGGGCACTGTCCATATGGATGGCGGGTGTGGGGAGGCTCCTGCTACTATTTCGGAAAGTCTGAGGTTTCCTACGAGACGGCGGTTTCAGCTTGTCATAACATGGCAGGTCAGTGTATAACATCTTCTCATGCCAGGACCACGGCGTATCGAGCAACGGCCTTGGCTAGCTACGTAAAGGGTTGCTGCACGCACACTCCTATGTCTGCACACACTTATGTTTATGAGTTTGTTTCTGTAGAGACCAAATTGACATATAGCCTGTTCAGATCATGCCACTAGTAGCGGCCCTTCCACTACCACTAGTCAGACACCCAAAATCTTGGCTATTGTGTATTGTCACAAATTCTCGGGGAGGAGTTCCAATCAGCTGCTCATGACAGTGAGAGACTTTGTGACACAGGCTAATAATTATAAAGTTATAAAATAAAGTTGACATAGTTATAGAGTTTGGCTTGTTCCAACACAAGGAAGAAACTCGATCACCATGAATTTTCGGCTGATCCCGTCAACCTTCATCAGATGTGTGATGCAATCGCTGACCTCTTTCCGGAAGTCGGAAACGTGGTGACTTCAGGAGTGCATCAAAAGTGGCGGGAAGACGGAATCTCCCACCATCACGGTTCATTCTAGATACGGAGCAGGATTACTTTGTGAGGGGCGTGAAGGAGGCAGTTTACATCAGGGCCCACCAACCCTCTCTGAACCGTAATGGTGGGAGATTCCGTCTTCCCGCCACTTTTGATGGGATGGTGAGTTTCTTCCTTGTGTTGGAACAAGTCAAACTCTATAACTATGGATTCTACCAACACAGATGAGCTTTCATTCGAATAAAGTTGACATGTTAACTTTTCATTCCCTTTTTCTGCTTTACCAGCTCACGTGGTTGAGATCAACAGCGAAGCTGAGCAGGAGACTCTCGGCGTCATCACGTCAGCCAGAGATGGAGACAAATACTGGGTCGGACTGCGGTTCTCTCAGGTGCTTCTTTAATAGAAGTCAACTTTAACAAAAGTTTTTGTAACTGTTCGGTTAGTGTATATACTGTGTTCTTATTCAGTTCATTAGCCATGAATGCTTACTATCCACTAACACATCAACCAAGATCAAACTGTTGACCACGGATCGGATCGGCAGCACCTCCCTCCCACCCACCACTCTCGCCTCCCCTTTCTGTTTTTTTTTTACTTTTTTAAAAAAGTCTTACACCGGGATATGAACAGATTTTTCAGACTCTTTCAGCTTGCAGTTCCTTAAAATTACATCCTCCTCTCAATCCGTGACATCTTAGCTTCCATCGGATTGCCAGTGCTCATCGCCATTCGGCAATCACAATCAATGCAAAAAAACGGTTCTTTATTTGACACCTTGATTGCTAACTAATCTTATTTTCTCTGATGAACATTCCTCCTTTCACATTCTACGTACAGTCCAAGTCCTGGTACAACTGGTGGCACCAAGTTCCTCTGGCTGCGCAGTCGTCCTGGTGGTCTCCTGGCACCGACAAAACAGCGGCGTTCGGCAGCGACACCTGTGTCATCATGGGCCGAACTGCAGGGTTCAAGTGGACAACTCAGCACTGTGGCCTGAACTCCCGCGTCATTTGTGAAATGGACGGTGTGTTGTTGAATTGTTACCTCCATGAAAAATGGAGGTATTGTTTTTGGTGTGTCTGTCTGTCTGTATGTATGTATGTATGTATGTGTGTGTGTGTGTGTGTGTGTCTGTCTGTCTGTCTGTGTGTGTTTCCGCAACTTTGTGGTCAGCATAACTTCAGAACGCCTTTATGGATTATGATGATATTTGGTATGTTGGTAAGTCTTAGGAAGACAAACGTCAAGGTCAAATATGGGCCTCCTGGTGGATGACCTTGGTACTGCAGCAGAACTTCCGGTTTTTGTATCTTTTGTCCTGAACATGCTATGGTCTTGATGTTTTGGTGACAGATTGCGTCAAAAATACGTGGTGTGAGTTTGGTCCCCCTAGCAGCTTGTTCTGGAACTGCAGGGCACTTTCTGGCGAAATGTTTAAAACCCAATAAGTCCAGATAGGAACAACATATTTTCATCTTGGGACATCTTTAAGTTAATCAAAAGTTAACATACATCACGATGCATATATCATGTTAATACGGAGGTAATTTGCATAATTAAAGAGGAAATTTACATTTACATATCAAGCCCATATTTCATGGAGGTATGAAATCTCGGAATTCTTGTTAACAATGTTAGGAAGTTGATGCACCTTGGACGTTTTCGTCATGTTTCGGGGCCTTATTCTGAAAAAGGGTGAGTTATTACAGCTTGTTATTTTTTCTCCGTTCACAACAGGGTTGGCCTGCGGGACGATTTCCTTGATCAGCCGCGCGTTTTACGCCGACGCCCGCCCCTGGATGGACCTGGATTTCGGTCGGGAGATGTATGTGGCCGCGATAGAGACATCGGGCGACGTGAGCACCAACTCCTACACTAAAGCGTACAGTCTTCAGACAAGTGCCGACGGGGCGGTGTACAACAACCATGGAGCCAGCTCTGAGCCGTGTACACGTGTTAAGGTAACTTTGAGGGTGACTTTTACAAAGGGTTTGACTCTAATTGTTGCAGATTGTAATTATTACAAACTTTGGGAACGACTTTTTGAATGTTTCTGTATGTTTGTTTCCCTGTGTGTCGGTAGTTACTTTTAAAAGTACAATAGAGGTGCAGAAAGTGTTAGAGCAATGGTGCAACCGCACATATGACTGACAATGGTTGAACTGCACCGAACTGGATTGTCTCCCCGCAGGCTGCATGGAAGTGACAACGGAATGTGCACAGAATCTGGGGGAAATTCATTCAGAATAAGGAATAAAACGAGATACCAACAACAACTCAAAATACTTCTAAGAGATCTGAAATCGCCGTTGCTGTTTTTACAGGTGTATCAAGCCAACACCGAACCAAGAACAACTGTCCGGACCTTTATACAACCCCGCATTTCCACGAGGTACCTGCGAGTCATTCCGGTTGCCTGGTTTGGCCGCCGGACACTGACACTGGGCGTCCTCGGGTGTGAAAGTGCGCTGATCGCTGCGAGGCGTGAGTACTGACTTAATGCCTTACTTTCGTATAAAGGTAGTTACTATATGGTCCATGGTCACACCCTCTGAAGTGCGTTACAGAGCCGTTAAAAGGTGTTGTGGAACGGCCTTTTTCTCTTTACACGAGCGTTTTACAATGCGAGACGTTTGTGGAAAAGCGTTTCGTGAGTGTTTTTGAAAACGCATGTAAAGCTGGACTGTGTAATATTTTTCCCGAACGCTGCATAGATTTCATATTCATGTCCTTTGCTTCCAATCCCAGACCCGGGTACCGTAATGGGAGTTTGGTTTGAGGGCGTCCGGTTGGATTTCCCCGCCGCTCATCATCACTGTTCAAAGTACCACAGCAGGATGGCGTCATACAGCGAGCTTCTCGCCGCGTTTCAAGCCGGCATTGGAGACACGACGCCTTCATGGCTGACCGACCAGACCCTCAGATACCTCCTCGAACGCGTCAGTCGTCGCTCGGCTTATATAAACAGTGGAATAATCAGTTATGGTGTTCAGCCTACTTTGTCGCGACGTGGCGTGTTTTGTATGCAGCCCATGTCAGGAAGTAAGTGATTTTTCTTTTTACAAACGCCGAAACGGTGTCCAAGAGATTCTCTACAAATATCTCCCACACTTCACCCATGTTCCGTTTGTACAGAGAGTAGTTGATTTCTGGTATTGTAGTAAGGCCATGTTGATTTGATTATATGGATGACATCCTCTGGGAACCTCAAAACCGATGCGCGCGTGCGAATAAAAAAAAAGTTTTGCAAAAAAAAAAGTTGATTTCACTATGAAATCTACGTGGTCATGAAGGTTGAACAAATGGCACAGAATATGTTATGGCGAATAATCTACTCTTCGAATTCATTTCTTTACATTTTTGTCTTTTTCCTTTGATTTTGGCATTCTACGACATTGGTATCGTTTCTAAATGTTTTCCTAGCAACTTATGACATATTTTTGCTCATTTAGCAACTGTTTTGCACGATTTACAGTATGGTTGAAAACTTTTTTTTTTTGGAAACGGCCGAAAATTCATGCGCGCGCGGATGTCATCCATATAATCAAATCAACATGGCCTAAGATATACAGATTGTGCCCGGTAGGGTTATGGCAATCGCCACGATTTATTAGTTTGTTATTTCTTGTGTTTGGTTTTGAAGACATTGCCTTTCATTGTTGGGTAGGATTCTGGTAGTAAAGATCAGGCATGCCGGCAGTTTACTAAAGTTTACTACATTTGGCATGGAGCCAACAACCCTGCGTAGACTCTATCCTTGTGCCGATCACAATACGCCATACAATCGTTTGTTCCAATAAATTCTGACATTTTTTGTGTTTTTTTTTAAGAATTGGGATGTGCCACGCCCCTCGTTGCTAGGCAGCCATGTGCCTGGGATGACGCCACACCTCGCGAGTGCGAGCTCCACGGGTGCTGCTGGGATCCGTACCCCGGGTACCCGAGCTGTTTCCACAAAACAGGTCAGGAGGTTTTGTATCTTCGAGTCGAAGTCCAGCGTAGTTGTCGCCAAACTGGGCAACACACATACTTAGCATGGCAGTTTATTTCTGTTATAGTTAACAATTTGAAAGTAATTTCAGAAAATAAAATTAAAAACGCGACTGGATCACTTTACCTTCCGGACACGTGACGTCATGAGCAATTGGTCACGAAGTGCAGGAAGTTTATACCGCCCGCCGCCTCTCTGAAGTGATGTTTTGTTTACAAACGCATTTGTTGCTACGACACATGCAGCTGGAACAAACATCGCACTGGAGAAGGGGACATATCAGTCGACAACACCTGACGAGACCGGCCTCTCTTGGCACGGCAATGACGGCGTCAGAACCACGACCAGCTGCGACGAAAACGGCAGCGCGTGCGTCAAAACAGGAAGAGCTTCTAGTCTAGGTCGGTGTCTTTTCTTCCATT